AAATTTCTGGCTGAACTCAAAACATGTATTCCACAAGAACAACTATCCACGGCAAACAATTCACTGTCTGATGGTAACCAGCCCTGCTCCCAGAAGCCTTCCTACTTCCTACTTCCTACTCATTGGGTCTCATGGAATCCCACTCCACTCAAGAATTCCTCCTGGACAAAATTAATGTCTCTGCCTATATTCCCACTGGATCTTATCTTAATGTATACCCCAGCACAAATCCCAGTTGGCTTAGTTTTCATGAATGCTGTCCCTACTGGACATGGGCCAGAGAGGGGATGATGGTGTGTGAAACCATGCATGCCCCACACTGATTGGATCATTTCAATGTTCCAGACTCCATGCATTTCACAGGCTTCATTTTCCTCCATCCTCACAGTCCTGCACATTGCTGCCTACTAAGCCAGCTTATTTCAGAGAACTCCTTTGTCACACACGTGGGCAAAAAGTACTGCAGAGAAAGACCAAGGAAATGAATGCAGATGCTAATCCAAAATATCAGACTCTCTATTCTGCCCATAAACTTATTTTTAAGAATACAGGAGTTAAATGGCACCGTGGAACAAATAAGCAACAGAACTTTAACCCTAAATAATCCGCTTTTCTGGAAATATCTGTATATCTTGAATACAATGAACCACATCACTTCCCTTATCCATTAAGTTCATCTTTGTATTCTGCTCACATCTATCGTGTCACTGTGTACCAGACACAAGAACACAATCGGCCACCTCAAGGACCTTACCTTCTCACTGCAAACCCAGGATTCTAACATCATGCTAGAAGAGCATATAAAATCCATCTGTACAAAGGCAATGCAAACCACCAAAGCATGGCTCTGGGGTTTACTGGCACCCGGGGGTGACAAGAGTTCATAACAGTCAAGGCTATATTTTATGGAGAATGAGAAGACAGGAGCCCGACGGCTCTAAACATGAAGAACTGAGGAGACAGAAATGCTGATGACCTCAATTTCATCAGAATGCACTGTATACGTGAACCGAACTGTTACCCAGTAGCCCACAAGTGTGGATAATTATTGCATGTTAATTTAAAACAATGAAATCATAAACAAGCATGATAAGCCACACTAGACTAGCTTTTTGTGAAGATCCCAAGGAGGTGTGTAGGATTTGTCATCTCAAAACTCATGCAACTGTTTAAACTGATGTCTTCATGTTAATGGTTGATGGGCTAGGGGTGGAGATTGAGCTCACAATGGCGTCTGAGAAATGGGGCTGATGGGAGGTCGTGGGTCACCAGAGGTGTACCCTTGGAGGATAGCTCTCAGGAGAGGATGAGTGCTTCAGGTCAAGTTTGGCCTAGTTCCTATCTCTTTTTTTCTGGCTCATTTTGAGATCACTGCCAACGCACCCACCATATTCCACCATGGTCTAACCAGACACAGGACTATGGGGCTGTGGGATCTTGTAACCTCAAACTCTGAGATGTAATAAACTGTTTCTTCCCAAAAGAACCTCTTCTTGGGTATCTTAGGTAAAGTAACAAGAATTGGACTAACACAGGGGGTCAAGAGTCCCCTAGTATCTTACTGCCCCCACGGATCGTTAACTTGCAATGACTTCAACCACACTAAGATTGCTTCAACATAAGGGAAACATTTTCAACATACTTGGCATTTAGATGGCTTTGTCTAGAGGTAACACGCCAAGCCCAGGTCTTCTCACACAGAAATGGTTCGCTGTCTCTGCAACTCCTGCCCCTGCCTCCCCCACCCAATTGCTTTCCTTTTCCTAGTATCTATTCCTATTCCCCCTTATCCAAATGTACTGTCAGTAAAAGCCCACACTCAAAAATGTCACTGCTGAATACTGAACCCTTACTTTCCGATTCTTAATATGAGGTTTCTAAGTTTTCACTCTTAGAAATTTCTCTCCCCACCCCCAACCGACTAAATGCAATTATTTTTATTTCCATGTGGCTTTTGGTAATTTTCTCTTGTGCATCAGAAATTTTCCAAAGTTCCCCAAAAAGATCAAAAAATAACTGAGTACAGAATAAGACAGTCCCCTCATCCGGAAGGAATCCCCAGATCACAGGGATAAGTGCAACTGGGCAAGGGCCCTGGGATTCCGCAGCCCACAGTCCCAGGGAGCTTCTGCTCTTCCCCACGGCTCACATACCTTGGGCCCTTATTTAGTGTGGTCAAAGTGATGGTTAAATACTGAACACATTCCTCCTCATTGACAAATGCCACCTGTTCCCTCCCAAATACACCTGTGGCTTCCCCAGCCCCTACACCCAGGATCCTTTGTCCCAATTTCCTCACAGCCAAGTGGGAAGGCCTGGCCAGCAGGGGGGTCTCCAGGACCTTCCCAGGGTAGACATAACCCCCCATCCTTGGACATAACCATGCTCCTCTTCTGCAAAGGAGCTGTATCATGTAATTATGTTACATTACTTATGCTGAAACAAGAACCAAAAGAAATACAGAAACCTGAAAAAAAGAACAAATAAATAAAAGGGCATTTATGAGAGAGATAAAACCACAGGTTGTATCTTTTTGGAGAGACACCAATGCCAAAATTCTTGTGTTCCGACTGCCTGGGCTGGGACCCCAGCACTGCCATGTGCCAGTTGTATGGTTTGGCTATGCATCAAAATGCCTCATCTACAAAATCCAGATAATAAGATCACCTACTAAACAGGGTTGTTTGGAACATTCAATATGGTCACATTAGTAAAATACTTAGAATAGTGCCTGATACAGTGTATGTAATGTGTGTATTTCTCCACAAACAGTTGATTTGATTCTGTCCCAAGTCTGTTCAATAATTTAAAAATTAGGAGTTTCACAACAGAAAAAAAAAATTGAGACTCTGTGAAACACTTATATGTTAGACATTGTTTAATCACCCTGCACTAGCCACATCTGGGATCCAGGTTTGACACTGCGCTGTGAATTTCCGGAAGCAAACACACTGGAATGTGTTCCCACATTTGGGTAAATCCCTTACTAATCAAAAACGTCACGGGTTCACAGGAAACTTGGGTTATATGTTTCTCAGTTTAACCCTGCAATAGCTTTTGACCACACCCTAGCAAATAAATTTTATTTTGTGGTGCTAAGACTTGAGGATTGTAAACATAAAAACAGGCCTTGCAGTGACTCAGCCTAGGAGCCAGATCCTACCTGCTGGATACTCCAGCATCCATCTTTAGTAAATACCCATGGTGGACAGGAAATTGTTACACCAAGCAGCCAGCTGGATCAAACTCACTTCTAGTTAAGGAAAAGGCTCCACCTCCCAAGCTCAAGCATAATTTAAACAGGCTGAAGGAGACACAAAACTGTCCATTGTAGTTTCTGTTAGATATGCAGGGCAGGAAACTGTCAACAGTTTCCTTGCCATTCCTTTTGGTTGATAGCTAACCCTCTGAGCATTCTTCTATACAATCCTAACCAGCTCACAAGCTTATCTTCACCCATCCTCTTTAAAAGCAGCTGCTCCTCTAAAACCATGAGAAAACCTCAAGCCTTGCATAGTAAGAAAACTAAAGCTGCAATACAATCATTCAAATGGTGTACACAAAAAAGAGTGTCTTGTGGCTGGGTGATGGTGACACAAGCAAAACAACGCGAATGTATTTAATGCCACGAAAAGTGCACTTAAAAACAGCTAAGATGGGAAATTGTAGGTGGTGTACATTTTACAATAAAAACATACTAAAAAAAAGCTTAAAAAAAAAAAAAACCCTGGAACAGCTAAAGGTAAATGAACTTTAGAACTATAAGGAACACCCACTAAGTCATTGGAAACTTCCAAGGAGCAGGGTTCCCCACCACTACCTATATAAGTGAATCAGCAAAACCAAATGAGCCCTACACAGTCCTTAGCACCACGGTTCATAAATCTCTCGGAAAAGACAGGCCCTCCTCAAAGTCTTCATAAGGCATACTTTTTTTTATCTGGATCGTGAGTTGTACTAGATCTTGAGAAGACAGGCTGGGAGCATATATAATGAAAGGCCCCCCAGAAAAACACTTACAGGCTGCCTACAAACTCAGGCTGAAAGGCTTTGTAATGCACTTGCACGCACACTTGTCCGCACGCCTCCAAAGTTAACTCTGAAAGAGCTGCTTATTCAAGTGGGCAGTGGATCAATGCGGCGTCTGTTAACGGCTCAAAACTGTAGACTCCTCTCCTGGACATTTCCAGGGCACCATCATTATCTAATCCATCTAACATATCTCGCAGTGCTCTGGGTTCCTGCTCCCAGAGGCCCTGGGAGGCCCACAAAGGGTTATCTAAAGTTAGCGGTCGCCCAATAAAGCGAAGCTAACTCCCCATTCTGGGGACTAGACCCAGGGGATGATCAAACGGGGAAACTCCTGGTGTCCTTAAAAATCGACTTGCGCTTAGCGCTTCATGGAGGAAGTAAAGAAAGCACTATGACGAGATTAGGAGAAGCATACACAGGTGTCGCGGTAGCTCTGCACCAAGGCTCCCGGCATCACACAATCTCACCCAAGGCTGGGAGGACGGCACGCCTGCATCTGAGACCCGAGTGCCCTGAGAACAGGCTCTGAGCACACAGCCCGCAGTTCACCCCAGCCCAGCGTCCCCAGGGCAGCAGAAGTTAGGGACCTGGCACTTCCTGGTCCGTCTAGGATGCTGGTGCCACCGCGCCCCTATCCCTGTCATGCCGCGGGGCTTGCTAACCCAAGCGGCGCTGGACGCCCAGGGGGGGGCCCGTGGCTGCGCGAGTCGGAGTGCACCCTGCAGGGCACGCCCCCTGCCTCCGCCCGCAGGCAGCCCAGGTTGTCAGCACCGGATCTCGCGGCGTCCGCGGGAGGCCGGGGGCTGCTCGGCAGTCCACCGCCCACGCGGCGCTGAGGTCCCGTCCAAGCCGGGCGAGGAGCGGCCTGGCTGCGCGGGCCAGCGGGAGGAGGGACGGAGGGCCAGGGCAGCGGCAAGCCAGCTCCGGTGGGAGCCCCGCGAGCCGCTGCGTCCGCGCGCGGCGCCTACCTGCAGGGCGAGGGGGCCGCGGGCACCTGCGCGCTGGCGGCTGGGAGCTCCCGGGGCTCGGGCGTTGCTGGCACAGCTGGAGGCTCGGGAGCGACGAGGGCGGGCCCGGGGGCGCTCGGCGCGGCGCCGGCGCCCGGAACTCGCGGCGCGGATTCGCCCGGGCTGTGCGGGGGTGGGGCGAAGCGGTGCCGGGCGCCGGCAGGCTGGCGGCCCGGCAGGACAGGCCGGCGGGCTCCGCAGCTGGGCCTCTGCCCCTGGCGTTTGGGTCGCTCGGGGGGCTTTGCCTGTATCCCCCATCCTCGAGGCTGGCAGCCTCTAAGGGCGGACCGAAAGGCGAGCTTTCTTGCTCGGGGTGCTTTAGCTAAGACGTAGGAGCTCTGTTCATGGCATTTATGAGACTCCTTGCGACTCCCTCGGGTAGGTGTTGTCGCCACTCTACAGGTAAGAAAACAGGCTCGGACCGGCGAAGTAGCCGGCGTCTAGACTCCCAGCAGAGATCCCTGGGGACGGGAATTTGTGTCTTGATGTCTCGATAGCTGGATGTCATTCAGACTTCTTAGCATCAAGGCAGGGGGGGGGGATGGCGACACCGAGAGCAAGACTTGGAAAATTCCCATTACACCCCTCCTCCCCCGATCGAACTGTCCGAACAGCTATTGTGCTGGTTTTCGTCCCCTGAAAGTGTTAATTAAGGAAAGGAGCACCAGCCGTCCAGTCCCGGCCAAGTGACACAATCTTGCACCCCACCGAAAGGCGCAGCCTTCCCGCGCACCGCTGTGCTCACAGCGTGGGCCGTGTGTGCTCCACCGCCCAGGCTGGCCGGCTTCCATAACGTCTCACTGCACACATGGGGCGGCATAAAACTGAAAAGGCGGTGTTCAGTCCAAGGGAGACGAGGGGCGTGAAATTCCAGTCTGCAACTCCGTTTTTCCTGTAACCTGCACTTGGCTCGCCCCTTCCCCCGCCCCACTACATTTTTCTCTCCTGAGCACATCTTTTCCAGTGATGGAAGAGTCACACAGCCTTCACTCCCTCCTTGCCGACAGACCTGATTGATGCCTTTTGAATCCTGGGGTACTGACAGATTTTTACAATTAAGCACAGGGCCCTCTGGCAAGCTTAGCACAAGCATGTTACCGAAAGCCTGAACACTCCCCTTTCTCAAGTTTTATTAGTCACAGATGATGTGATAAGTTTTATGCGAACGAGTAACTGCACTCTTACAGGCTTGTCCCTAGAAGTTATTACACCTTCAGTTCGAGAAGCAGCAGCCCATAAAGCTGCATTCCTCACTCAGAAGTGATTAGTAAAACATTTGGCACTAGCTACAGCCCTGGGTCTTTCTACTGAGGAGCCTTAGAAATAAGGTTATTTAAGTGCCTTCACAATAGCTCAACTTCTGCTTCCCTGGGACAGGAGACTAAATAGGAAGATGCCCTGTGAGGTGAATGTAGGTACAAAGTAGCGGATCCTGTATGTAATTATCCCCCGCACCCCCCAGCTTTGTTGACTGTTCATTTGTTTGGCCTATATCTTTCATACCCACAGAGATGTCAAAAAAAATGATAAATCCTATTACACAGCCACCTCAATATGCATTCGACCTGTTTGTAATCCTTTTTTTAATTTTTATAACATTTTTAAATTTTTACATTTATAGTTCACACAGATACAAAGCTTTGGGGAAAGCAGGGGGAAAAATCTGTTTAAAATCACCTAGAATCCCTACGTAGGAGCACCTCATTAACATTTTGTGTATTTCCATTCTATGTTCTTTTTCTGTGTATAAAAGGATGTTAGAAAATTAACACCATGACAGAGAGTATAGAATCCTGCTTATGTCACTGAATTATTTATTAATGGAGTATTTTAAACTGTCATTAAAGTTTCTTTAAAATATAATGATTGAATTATAGTTAAAGTCATTTATTGTTCATTTGTTCATGGCCTTCTGGCTATCTCCAGACTTCTCTGCAGTTTACAAATAATGCTGTAAAAAGCACTGTAGATATATGATCTTTGTCAAGATCTCTAAGTTCTTAGGGTAGATTCCTAAAAGTGAGAATAGTGAGTCAGCATTTGTAAACATTTTTGAGGCTCTGTGTGATACTGCAGAAAGTAACTTTCAGTACTATCTTGCTTCTCATTTGAAAATGTGATGGATCAAATCATATTTTGTTTTAATGAGCATTTCTTTGATAACCAGTAATACTGAAACCTGTTTTTCTGTTTATTGATTACTGGAACCATTTACTAAGAATGACCTCTTCCCGTCCCCTACCTGTGCTTCCTGTGGTGAATTACTACCCTGCTTATTCCTTTGCAGTAAAGCTTTCAGTAGAAACAGCCCTATTCTCTAACATTTACACACCAGTGGGGCTCCCCCAGAATTCCCCTCACGGTTCATTTTATACATACACTGCCCTCCTACTCACCCAGGGCCTTTTGGGGTACCGGCATCCACCACCTTTTCCAACAGTTCCATTCTATTATAGAAAATTGCCTCTCCCGAAATGGGCAGAGTCCTGGCAAGAGGGCAGTCTCAGGCAGCACCTTTCAAGGCAGATCTTCCCTCTATTCCTGCCACCACTCCAGTTACCCTGTGTGCCAGGTGGGCCAAATCACGGGGAATGAGGGAGCTGGTCACGTGTGAGGCCGGCTCAGCTGTGCTGGGACTGCAGCAGCTCCAGCGACAGCTCTGCCCTGACCAGGGTGTCCAGCCAGGGGCTGTTTCCTGCTGTGTGCCTTTTTTTCTAATATTTTGGCATGTCCTAGGTTCCTGCTGTTCCCCAGCCCCCACTTGGTTCTGTGAGCTCCTGACACCCTTTTCCTTCAGACGGCAAGAGACTACACCCGTGCTTATCCCCAAGAATCCTCTAACACAATCTGCATGACTCCTGACTCCTCCAGTCCACTGGCCAGTGCCCCTGTTTGCCACCATTCAATTCATTCCTTCATTCAGTCACAAACTTCGAGGTTATCAATGGCCATGCACTAACCACCACACGCGTTTCTCTGGAAACACAGAGTAGAGAGCATGACATTTTGTCTCCAGTCATTATATATGGGACAGAGTAAAAGATGAGAGCAGTGTAGTTAGTGAGTCCGACAACAGTGGCTAAGACCAAAACTCTCAAGGGGGAATGAGGAACAGAGTGTCATTGTGTCTGTGTAGCTTCATTTCCGCTTCCTGCGGGCCATTCATAAATTTCATAACTTCTCCCAGCACCACTCAGCTTGTGGGCTGTCTGCCATGTGACAGAAAGGCCTACCCTGAGCCCACTCCAATGGAGGAGGAGTCTCCTCAGGCGCTGGTAGCCAGTCCCTAGGAGGATTCATTTTTTTTATTTATTTATTTTTATTTAACAAGTAGAGTTATAGACAGAGAGAGAGACAAAGAGAAAGGTCTTCCTTTCATTGGCTCACCCCCCAAATGGCCACTACGGCTAGTGCTGTACCAATCCAAAGCCAGGAGCCACTTGCTTCTTCCTGGTCTCCCATGCGGGTGCAGGGCCCAAGCACTTGGGCCATCCTCCACTGCTCTCCTGGGCCAAAAGTTGGACTGGAAAAGGAGCAACTGGGATTAGAAACCAGTGCCCATATGTGTTGCCGGCGCTGCAGGCAGAGGATTAACCAAGTGAGCCACGACGCTGGCCCTGGAGGATTCTTTGAATCCCCAGGCCCAAAGGAAACTGACTCTCCCTACTTTATCACTTACTTAAAATATCTCTATACAATAGTTCCCCTTATTTTTGTTATTTTTTTTTTCAGGCAGAGTGGATAGTGAGAGAGAGAGAGACAGAGAGAAGGTCTTCCTTTGCCGTTGGTTCACCCTCCAATGGCTGCCACGGCTGGCGCGCTGCAGCTGGTGCACTGCGCTGATCCGAAGGCAGGAACCAGGTGCTTCTCCTGGTCTCCCATGCAGGTGCAGGGCCCAAGCACTTGGGCCATCCTCCACTGCACTCCCGGGCCACAGCAGAGAGCTGGCCTGGAAGAGGGGCAACCGGGACAGAATCCGGCGCCCCGACCGGGACTAGAACCTGGTGTGCCGGCGCCGCTAGGTGGAGGATTAGCCTAGTGAGCCGCGGCGCTGGCCAGTTCCTCTTTTTTAAAGGTATATTTATCTAGTATTTTTATCTCTTTGAAAGCCAGAGTCACTAAAAAAAAAGAGAAATCTGCAGGTTTACTCTCCAAATGCCCCCAACAGCCAGGCTGGGCCATGCCAAATCCTGGAGCCTGGAACTCCAACGTGGTCTACCACGTGGACAGCAGGGACCCAAGCACTTGAGCCAGCATCTGCTGCCTCCGAGGATGCACTGACAGGGAGCTGTGTGGGAAGTGTAGTAGCCAGGACTCAAATCGGCACTCCAGCATTGGATGTAGTGTCTCAAGCAGCAATTTAACTCACTGTGCTCCAACACTTACCCCGTACAGTGTCTTCAGGGTTTACATACCTTTTGGAATTGGACTCGATTGCAAGGATTTGAACATTTCTACAATTTAGTGTGATGATTAAATAAGCAAATGTGCAAAAAGCTATTATAAAATGAGCATCTGCCTAGAGTAATTCAATTATAGGCTAATTGGTTGCTACAATTTTGTTAAAGGAACAATAAACGGAACTGCATTCAGTTTCCAAAAGATTTAAGTCACTTTTTCAGCTGGAACTGCCACTTTCCAGTAATTCACCAAGATGATGAGCACAAAGGGAAAGAGGAAAGGCACCCAATACATGTTCTCCAGGCCTTTTAGGAAACATGGGGTTGTTGATTTGGCCACACACATGTTTATCTACAATGAAGGTGATATTGTAGACATCAAGGAAATGGATACTGTTCAAAAAGAAATGCCCAGGGCCTGCACTGTGGTGATCCAGCTCTCTGCTATGGCCTGGGAAAGCAGTGGAAGATGGCCCAAGTCCTTGGGCCCCTGCACCCACGTGGGAGACCTGGAAGAAGCTCCTGGCTCCTGGCTTCGGATGGGTGCAGCTCCAGCAGTTGCAGCCAACTGGGGAGTGAACCAGTGGATGGAAGCCCTTTCTTTGTCTCTCTCTCTGTAACTCTACCTCTCAAAAAAATAAAATCTTAAAAAAAAGTGTCCCATACATATCACCAGGGCAAACCTGTAAGAGGCTACAGTATGACTTCACATGCTGCTGGCACTGTTGTAAACATGCTAAGGGCAAGTTTCTTGCCAAGAGCATTAGTACACCTTTTGCGCCTGTTAAATAGTTTAAGTGCCAAGATAGCGTCCTGAAACCTGTGAAGGAAAATGATCAGAAAATGAAGGAAGCCAAACAGAAAGGTACCTGGGTTCAACTAAAGCGCCAGCCTGCGGCACCCAGAGAAGCCCACTTTGTCACAACCAAAGGAAAGGAGCCTGGGCTGCTGGAACCCATTCTCTTTGAATATGCAGCATAATAAGTGTTGTTGTTGTTTTTTTTTTTTTTGAAGTCCTATGTAAAAATAAATGATTTTGAAGGAACTCATAAATTACCCAGTAAAAGAGTTATCTCAAGGGACAGCTATTCGGCATATTGGTTAAGGTGCTGCTTGGAACACCTGCATCCCATGTGAAGGGCGTCTGGGTTCGAGTCCTGGCTCCACTCTCCATTCCAGCTCTCTGTTCATGTGTACTCTGGGAGGCAGCAGGTGATTGCTCAAGTAGTTGGGGTCCTGCCACCCACCCAGTTTGAGTTTCCCACTCCTGCCTTTGGCCTGCCTCAGCTCTAGGATCTCTCTCTCTCTCTCTCCCTTTCAAAACAAATTTTTAAAAAATTACCTTAAGTGGGGCCACTATTGTGGTGGTAGCCAATAAAGCCTCAGCCTGTGACACCAGTGTCCCATATGGGCACTGGTTCAAGTCCCAGCTGCTCCGCTTCCAATCCAG